CTACATGTTTTTATGGAGTATGCCTATTGCCTAACCAAGGCTACCAGTATCAGCCAACCTGCTGAGTATCATGTTAGTAAAAACGTGCTTCCCTTGTGTTAGAATAAACATATCACCTATATGCAACATGTACTGCAAGTTGTCGGATTCTAGCGTAACTTTTATGTCTCTTGCCTTATTTCCCTGTAAGAGGAAGCACCTGCTTCTCCTATTGCTCTCTAGCTTCTGGTCTTTGGCTCGAGCAGGTTGCTCTTTCTTTCGGTGTTGAAGTAAACCTTAGCAGAAGACTTAGCTTTCATTCAATCCCACAACCGTGAGACTATCATGCCGCCACACAGTGAAAACTCAACACCTCGGTTTGTGCTGATTAGGGTTAGTTTGAGCCTGATGTTTTCTCATTCAACAGCAGCCGTATCCGTCTGTCTGTCCGTCCGTCTGTCCGTTACTTCACATTTTTGTCGACAAGAAAATGCGCTCCCGGTTGTTGTTGTTGTTGTTGTTCATTGCGACCGTCACGCTTGCCGGGGGGAGGCTCTGGTGGTGGAGAAGAGGGGGGAGATGGGCGAAGGCAGGGAGAGTGGCCAGGAAAGCCGCTGCCTCCACAGGGTTGTCCCACAGTGAGGAGACACTGAGAGACGTGGGGAAGGCGGGGCAGACAAAGAGATGCTGGACCGACTGGAGGGGATACCTGCACTCCGGGCAAGCGGAGCTGGGGGAGCGTCCGATCCTGGCGGAATAGGATGCCAGGGAGCTGCAGTATCCCGAGCGGAGCTGGGATAGCACTGAGCGGTAGGGGCGGGGGATGATGCCATAAACGCCGTACTTGCGGTCGGCGGTGGCGGGGCCGCAAGTACGGCGTTTATGGCGTCAGTCGCCACAATGCGGGAGGCAATCTCTCTGCGGAGGGCCCGTTTGGTCTCTCCGTAGGCACCCACAGGCATCATGCCATTATCCAAGAATGGTGTGACCAGGCGACCGAACCTTGACTGGATGGAGGGCTGGAGGGCGCTGGCGAGGAACTGGGCACAAGCCAGGTCCAGATGCGTGGCTAATGGGATGACGCCAGTCTTCTGGTGAAGGTTGGAGATCGGGGCCATTTTGAGGCAGCCGGTGGCTAGTCTCAATGCAGTGTTTTGAATTATCTGCAGGCTGGCAACTGCTGTGCTTGAGGCAACAGGGTACCAGATGGGGGCCGCATAGTTGAGGATTGGGCGCGTGATGGCTCGGTAGGTGGCAATAATGTCCTCCTTGGAGAAGCCCCAGTTGGTATCAGCTAGGGCTTTTAGGATGCAAAGAGGACCCGTTGCTTTTGTGGCAATGGCTCTTGCATGAGGGGAGAATGTGAAGTGCGTATCCCAGGTGACACCCAGGATTTTAGGGTTTTTATCCAGGGGGTGATGCCGTTGCAGATAGTGGCTGCAGGGTGGGATCGAGATTGGTGGGTGTCTGGTGTGAATAGCGTGACCGAGGATTTGCCAGGGGCCACGCTCAGTTTCTTGGCCGCCGACCAATCCGATACGTTCCGAAGGAGCCCAGCGAGCTAAGCCTCAGCAGCGTCGAGCCTTGGGGACGACACAAAGATGGTCAGATTGTCCGCATATGAGGCAATGTTGGGGGTCGGAAGTGGGATATCGGAAATGAAGTGGTTGAAATGGGCCGGCGAGATGACCGAGCCCTGGGGCACTCCGAAGTGAACAGCCCTGAAAGGCGACTGCGTTGAGATAGAGGCAGGACGTCAGCCTGCCTCTAAGGTAGCAGCACAGCCAACGGACCAGGTTATGATGTAGGGCCGAGGCCGTGCTCCCTGTCACTCACTGCGGTGAGTACCGTAAAATGGTGTAACTTAGACCGGCGGGGTAACTTAGACCACTTTTTGTTTTTTTAACAAAAAACCCCAAAACTCAAAAACTATTTGACAGAAAAATTTTGTCAATGGGCATTAAAGGCCTAATACTGAGGCTACATAACACAATAGAAAGATTTAAAAAGTTTGCATATCTAATAGGTTAAAAAATTAAAAATCTGACCCAATAAAAAAAAGCTATTATTTAAAGCCTGTCAGAGTACCCCCTCCAATTTTTTTATTTTTTGGTTAAATAACTCCAGATTTTGATGCATTGTAGTAGAACTCTTCTAGTTACATATGCAAATGACAAATTTTAGGAAAAGTCATAGTTTGCAAATGGGGGGCGCCACCCCCAAATGGGGGAACTTAGACCACCTAATGTCAGCCCTAACGGGGTAACATAGACCGGCTTGGAAGTTAATATAAAATTACCATATATAACATATTTTTATGTTTGACAGCCTATTTATGTTTTTTCTTTATAAGGGCTGCCATTAGGTAGTCACATTTCCCTCATTGTGGGGCAGCGCCCCCCATTTGCAAACTATGACACTTTCCTCAAGTTTGTCATTTGCATATGTAACTATATGAGTTTTTGTTCAATGCACCAAAACCTGGAGTTATTTGGAGTTATTTTACCAAAAAATATAATTGATTTTACCGCCCAGTCTAGGATACCCCAAGATCTGGGGTAACAAAGACCATCACTTTTTTGAAATTACATAAAGACTATGAGAGGCAGGAGCCAGCAATTTATGGTGAGTGAAGCTAGAGTATAGACCTGTATTTTGCATGTTTCAATTCAAGTTTAATTAAGCTAGTAAAAAAATGGCATCATTTATAAAAAAAGTGGTCTAAGTTACCCCATTTGACGGTACTGAGTTTTATATTTTTAATTTTTTTTTAAATCTAAACAATAAAAATCAATAATTTTTTTCATTTTTACATGATTTTTTTATATATTTGATTTTTTCAGCTTATTTGTCTTTTTTAAATGTTATTTTTTATATTGCAATTAGCCTACTAACAATAACAGTACCGTCAAACAGGGTAAAAAGGGACAGTTTTGAGCGTTTTTTGTTAATGACTTCTTACCATGAAACATTTCAGAAAAAAGTTTAGGCTCATTTTATAGCTCTTTGCGAGGGCTATCGAATGGCAACTTCCAAAAAATTCCATATGCTATTCGTGAGGTGCTAGATGCAAAATAAAACCGTCTCGATTTACCCCTGGTAATGGGGTAATCTGGAACACTTGCTATAAAAGTTAATTTTAAAACGTTTGAAGCATGCAGAGTGTACTCATTCATTACTAACAGTACTCTGAAGTCCTCTTTCATAGTAGATGATGTATATGTAAAATAAATGAAATTTTCTGTGATTTTTACTTGTTTTTCTATTATTGATATGATATTACCATATTCATTAATTACTGTATTATTGATGTGATATTACCGTATCCATGGACATGCCATTGAGCATTTACAACGACCTTGTCCACTGCAAGCTTCATATCAGCAGCCTTATAGCATTTCTTCTGTATCTGTAAGCTTACAGGATGGCTTGTATTTTCACACCATTTTAATTGGGTTGAGCAAAGTTACTGCAAAAAAAGATCATGAAAAACATACCTGAAACATATATAGCATTCTATGTACAATTTTGTGATGACCGATGATGCACTAATTTTTTGATAAGTGAATTTTTTTTGCTGAGCGAGGTAAATGTAATCAAAATTTGTTGTTGGTAATCAATTTTTTTGTTAACTGGAGCCTTTGCTAACTGAGGTTCTACTGTAAATGCATTATTAAGGTTGTTCCCAATTACTCTTAGAGGAGTGTCCCTTTTTACCCCATCGCGCGTACATGGCTGCCATTTTTTTAATGAGATAGGCAAAGTTCCGTCAATCATGTTTTCAAGCCAACACCCGGGTGCAACTTTTATGTAAGGAAAATTTTTTAATACGGTGAATATATTTTTTGCTCCAGACCTTTGCAGAGGTACTTTTCCAAAATCACACATTTTTTAGCAATTTTTTAAAGATAGTAAATGTTTGATTTCTTCACTAGCTTTATACATGGTAGATAGTAAATAAATAAATATAAAAATATTTTTAAAAACCACATTTTTCTGGTTTTACAAGACTAAAAATAGTGAAATAAAATAAATAAAAAAAACTTTTAAAAACCACATTTTCTTAATGGAGAAAAAAGGAAAACATTTACTCTTACATAACATTTAAGTTATGTAATGTTATGTAAGAGTAAATGTTTTTCTTTTTTCTCCGTTAAGAAAACGTGGTTTTTAAAAGTTTTTTTATTTATTTTATTTCACTATTTTTAGTCTTGTAAAAACCAGAAAAACATGGTTTTTAAAAATATTTTTATATTTATTTATTTTCTACTTTTTATTTAGCAATTTTAGCAATTCAAGTCAATTTCCAGGGTTGGCAAGTGTGGATGTTTGAGAAAAAACTCAATTCCAAACCGTGAATTTTTAGTGTTTTTTTTTTAATTTGTTTAAAAAAAATTTTAAAGTTATTATTTCTGATGATCAAGTCTTGAATTGTTAGGCAGCATAAACATGCATGCCAAATTTCAGCTTACTAGGATCGTTAGAAGTGCTCTAAATTAAGGTTTGAATTTTTGATGACAGACACACACGAAACAAAGTCAAGAAAAACGTGGTAAAATGTTGAAGTTTACGCCACTATTTTTAGTTTTGCAATATTTTGATTAGTTTAGCTGCTACAACATTTCTACAAAATGTGGGACGCGCGTCCCACTTTACCATGTCCGTCCCTTTTTACCTTGTTTGACGGTATATGGATGACTAAAAAGGGCAGTTACGGTATTGCCTCCAAGAATGGCCAAGGTGGTGTTTACCATTTTAGGACTTTTGGGTAAACAATTATTGAAAAGTCATACATTAGCTTTGTAAAGTTTGTATGGAGGAAGTTATTGAGCTAAATATTGACCATTTAACTGGCTTCAATATACAACAACACTTCAGGAATGCTGATCTTCTAAACATTGAAGAGTCACATAACAGATAGGTAACTGATAGCACAGTCAACAGGCACTGCATTTGTACCTATTTTTTTACTTTGAATAAATGTTATTCTGTTTTGTGATGGTATTTTTTTTTTGTTCCAGAGGAATATTTGTCCAGGATTGAGTTTTGAAATTGACTATCACCAAATAATTTAAATTTTACTTTAGCAGTATGGAGGAAAGGGAAGGTAAGAATATATATAAATTGGCAGTTTCCAATATTGGCTTGGTTGTAGAAACTTATCTTTGAGGAACTAAAACTAGAATTTGATCAGAATCTATTCCTAGAAGTCCATTTTGCAATGATAATAGCTTGAATTTAGAATGATAGTAATGAGGGTGTCAATGTTTGTTGCCTTACAAGTTTCAAAGATAAAATTTGAAGTCCAATAGATCACTATTGAATTAATTGAAATTGTTTTAATTTTGTTTGCCTTTTTGTATCTTGAGCTTGCATTCTTACTGAACTTTTATGTTGCTCAAAATAGGAGAATTTTTCTTTGCATATAGCCTGTGAGTCTGCCAAGATTTTGCTGGTTGCTCTGACCTACAGTATATATAGGTAGGTATTTATAATTGTTCATTTTCTTGCTATTACTAGGAGCATAAAATAGTATAAATGTAGTTAATCATTTGACCTATTTTCATGTTATCCTGAAATTAATTTTCATTCTGAAACTTTGTCGTATATATCAGCTCATATTTTCATAAATTTATTGGATATATACATATCCTTTATTTATTTTCCATATGCATAAGTCCTTTCCAATCTTGTTCCCCTGTTATGCAATTTTATTTATTTATTTTCATTATTATTTTACTCTGTACAATTTGCTGGTTTTATTTTAGTAAACTATGTTTCAGACTTGGGTTTTCTCCAGTCAAAATGGCCTAAATTGACCAGCTTCATCTCGTATCTGACTCAGTCAGTACTTCCTTCTCAGGTAATCTTCATACTTCATACAATATATATTTATTTGCATTCATCTGTTTTAAAATTTCTTTTACTCTGTGTGAAAAGTGTTTAACTATGAATCTCGCCCACTGCCATAGCAACTATATATTATTATTCATATTTTAACACTGAATGGAGTGTCCTGATCTGAATTAGGATAGTGTTGCTTGGGCCGAAATCTTGAGTCAGAATACTAATTTTCTCCTGTAGCAATAATCTCTCTGCATTGGAACACAATAATAAATATATAATAGATTATTTTAAGTGCTTATAGTACAAGTTTCTGCTGAATTTGCCCAAATTTACATCAAGTACCTACCTTTAAATTCTTTGTGATTTTCATTTCACAAGACTTTCAAGTGCCTTTTGCATTTTAATATTTGAATTAATATGTTGCAGTCAACTTTCAGATGTAATAATAGGTTTGTTCAACTTCCAGAATCTACCAGCTCGCCCTCAATCCTTATTGGACTTGGATGTTGTGTCTGATGAACTTTATGAGGTGGGAGGCGTGGAAATAATGCCATCTGTGTCCACCCTGCCACGGCGATCAGTCCTCAAAACATCTTCTGTAAGATTATATGATATAAACTTCTTTCCAATGCATGAATTCCGGGTACTGTGAAATAAAATGTATTTCAATGTGAAATTTTGTGAAAAAAATTCCAAATTGGAAAGTTAGAATAAGTTTCCTATTCAAGTTAATAATAAAGATGCTAATTTTTTTATTGCATCTGAGGTAATTTTATTTTAGGTTTGCTCTTTATTCTACTTTTTCTAGCCCAGAATTTGCTGATGAAGTTCAGTATCTTATTATGGTTTTATAACCAATTGAATTTAATTGCACGAGCAATTAATACTTAAACTGTATTAACTTTAAACTGCATTAACTTTCACTGCTAAAATTTTTCTATGTTGTTATTTTTAAAAAATTACTCTGGATAGTTGTAAAAGAAAGTGCTAAAATTACTGCCTACAGTTGCACTTAAATATGAATTTTAATGCCAGTTTCATAAATCTTGCAGAATTGGTTAATGAATTCATTAGAATCTAAGACAAAGAAGTCTACTGAAAATCAATTTCAAATTAAGTGTTGCATGTTTTTCCTTAATAAATTTCAAATATTATCTACCTAAGCTAAGAATTTGATCATTTTAAATATGTGCCTCACATCATTAACCTTTAAATTTTATAAATTCGCCCTGTTCTTCCTGATTGACTTGTTTTCAGGCTCCAAGTTTTAGTATATATATATATATATACGTAACTAAGCCAAATATGATGTGTCAAAAAGGGTTGATGTGTAATATGTTCCTAGTATTTTCTCTCAACTTTGACAAAAAAAAATAATTTTTCTTTCCCTCAACATTCTTTCGTTTTCAGTCTGCTGCTCTGACGAGACAGTCACCGCGCCGTGCTGCTGGCACTCAGAGATACTATGGCACACCTCATCCAAGGGCTTCCATCAACCGAAGAGATGGCCTCCAGTCAGGAAAATCCTCTCCTGTTCTGCTGGACCTTGACTCGGAAGACAACGCTGACATCCACGTCCTACCAACTCCTGCTGGGTTTAAGACAAAGGACATAGGAGAAATGGCCATCGCTGCCCAACGACACAGAAAAAATCACTTCACACCAGCTATTAGCAAGAGCCGATTGACTTTTGATGAACATTCTTCACATGCAAAATCACAACAAAGCAACACTCCTCAAATTAAAGTGGGTGGAAATGACGGCCTCACTGACTCTGATGATGAAGTTATGGATGGAATTGAAAACGATAACTGCGATGGCAGGGATTTGGTTGGATCTGTTGAAATTGTGGACAATTTCAAGTCGCCAAGTTTGTCTAAGTTTCAGTTTCACCCCACAATAACATCTACGACTGAACGCAAGATGAGCAAGGGACTAACTCGCAAGGAGAACAAGTTCCAATTGAAGAGTAGTAGATCTGCTGCCAATGGTTCTTTGCTTCGTCGGAACGGCAGAATTTCCGCCCGACTTGCGCTAGAGCCGCTCCGAGGTGTAAGCAACCCGTTTTCTCGACCCAGGAGCTCACAATTTAGTTCTTGCATGCCTTCTGGACGACCAGGCATCTTTGCTAAGAAAGGTTTAAGCAGAATGGGACTCCCAGAAGCCTATTTTTCCTCAGCCAGAGATTGCTACAAGCCTGCTGACAAGCAGCAATACCTGGAGCTGGTGAAGCAAGTTGCAGCTTTAGGCAGCACTTTTTATGGCAGTAGCACTAGTGGGTTCAGCACGAGCAGTGTTTCATCAGTTCCTGTGACCAAAACCATCATGGGGGCCGACTGGTCACGAAGAAAAGCACTTGAAATCGAAGAGAACGCTGGGCAAAGGAAAAAAACTGCACTCAATGAAATTTCTTTGTGGACAGACGACCAGGAGAGCATGAAATTAAGTGGAGTGGACAGCGTTCGTGACGATGTTAAACCAAAAGCGTTTGTTTTACAAACGGAGAAAAATGTGAAGAATAAATCAGCAGATAAGGAGGTTGACTTAGTCGCAGAAGGTCAGGACGATGACCTCATAATAACCAAAGAGAACATCAAGAAAGTAGTTCGCCTGAACTCTTTTGAACAACATTCCAAGTTTAGTATCTTCAAAAAGTTTAATGAAGGTTGGATTCAAGATGTTAAAAGTCGCCGTTTGCAAAAGGAAGCAGAACTTGAAAGACCTCTTCGGGAGTCGCAAGAAACCTTGAAACTAGGATTCGAGAGGCGGAGGAAAACGCCCTCCATTGAAGACGTCGTAAACCGACGTTTTCAGATGCTTGATATGCGTCATCCTGCTGCTAGGATTGAGCTTAAAGAAGAGGATGTCTTGGTGGAATTAACTCCTAAAATGGAGAATGTGATCTCCAATGCCTTACGCAAACATCCACCTGGCGAAGTCCTGACTGAAAAATTTAACATCCAGATCACGAGACGGGACATAGCAACGCTTGACGGGCTCAACTGGCTAAACGATGAGGTCGTCAATTTCTACATGAACTTGATCATGGAACGAAGTCAGAGTGAGAAGCTTCCATCAGTCTACGCTTTCAATACTTTCTTCTACCCAAAACTCATCAAGATGGGATTTTCTGGTGTGAAGCGCTGGACTAAAAAGGTCAGTAACTCATCAAATAAAGTTAAAAGGATTTGGTGTTGTACGAGGTGTCTTGTTTCGTTTATAATTAGACCTTATGGAATATATCAGATTAGACGTAAGCATTTTTCACAAAAATTTTCAGTGCACGAGGAAAAGAGGGAATTTCTTCTTGCATTACAACATAGAATATTGGTCAATCTGGGTAATGTCAGTGAGGAAAATCTATGTTGAAATTTAATGTAACCATAACTATAATTTAAAGAGAACAAATCAGTCAGTGAGTGGGTTGTCCGAGTGGTTCGGATCATTAAGATTGCAGCCGCGAGTGGAGGTTTGAAAACCACTGTCGGTTGTGGAAATTCTAGGAAAAATCATTAAGGTTGCAGGGCTGTTAAGAGCCGATTACAAGCTAACGTGGCCTAAATAAACGCTGACACCACCATTATTATAATAAATACACGTTAAACTTTAATGTAATCATAAAGTTTCCTATCCCTAGAACCATTTATGAGCACGCAAATTCGAGTTGAAAGATTTTGACTTGTTTTAAGTTGACCATGACTAGGCATGGTGTTTAACCTGTTCATTTTATTAGATAAGTAGATATTTTTAGATATAGGCAGGCTATTTGCCAATTATTTTTTCACTATTAGATGATATAATTGTCGCGTATGCTTTAAATATCTATTGCATCGTCTTGCAGATTGATATCTTCAGCTACGACCTGCTGTTGGTGCCCGTACATCTTGGCATGCACTGGTGTCTGGCGACCATCGACACACAACAACGCGTCATCTGCTACTACGACTCCATGTTGGGTGACAACCCCCAGTGTCTACATGAACTCAGGAAATATCTCGCCGACGAGAGCATGGATAAAAAGAAATCCGCCATTGATCTCAGTGGCTGGAAATATGAAACTCCAAAGGATATTCCTCAGCAAATGAACGGTTCTGATTGTGGAATGTTCGCCTGCAAATTTTCTGAGTATCTATCGAGGAGAAAACCTATCACATTCACTCAAGACCACATGCCTTACTTCAGACGTAGGATGGTCTACGAAATCGTGACCAATAAATTACTGTGAAGGCTTAGATTTTACCTTGATTTCTGATGTTGTGAAATGAACTTGTGATTATGTTCGCTGCACCCTTCGTCCAGTACGTCAAGATATATTGCACAGAATCTCTGAAATTTGTGAAGCAAAATTTTTGTGTCGAGGCTTGGCGTGTGTCAGTTCAGGCCTGGTATCTTTCGTCCTGTTCAAGTTGGTAGCGGAAATTACTTTTGCATTGAAAACGTTGAGGAGAAACTAAAATGATACGAACTTGAGATATGAAACAGTGCAGCTGGCAGAGCTTTCTTTTGGACTCGTGGCTGATGTCAATTTCTGGTTTTATATTAAGGTCTTGTAAATATGATCTTAAAATTTTGTTGTCTGCCAACTGATGAAGTTGATTTTCATGTATATAGTTAACATTCCCTTTTGAAGCATGTATTTTCGGGTAGCATATTTACCTTTGCTAAATCCTGAGTGTTTTTGTTGATTTTGAAAATTCAAAATTTTGTGTTGGTTGTGTATTCTATGAATGCATTTTTGCTTGTGATTCTTCGGTATTGAATTTTGACTTACGTTCGCTCATACTGAAATAATTTCTGACTTAGATATTATTACCGTGGCAAGTTTCATTTTCATATGTATATATATCAATATATTACAGTATTTATGGAGCTTTAATTAAGGAAACCGCAAACGTCACGTGTAGTTTCTAGTTATTCGTAACTCATTTATTACTGTGACCTAACATTGCCTTCACGGTCGAGCTGGAAACCATCAGGTCCAGAACTTCATTGGAAATTTAGTAGTTTCGATTTGCGTTAAACCAATATATGATAACTAAAATTACTGTAAATAATTAAAACATTGTCAATGAAGTTTTTCCATTTTAGGAACACGACACTTGGAAAAATTCATGAACACCGAAGAGCTTATTACACGGATTTTTCTTGGAACAATTTAATCATCTTGAAATGTAAAGTGAAGTGAGGCTTTAACATTCATTTGTATATTTGCATAAGTCGTAAGTAGGCGTTTTTTCTAAATAAATGTTCTTTGCATGCGACTTTTTCCTCCTTTGATTTGTGTGGTGACTCAGTTTCCTGCAGGCTTACGAGACGTGCAATACCATGTCTTCGTGTTTTCATTTCCGCTCGGAAATGTAAAAATGAAATTACGAACTTCTGATTTAGTTTCAATTTTCGTAACATGGCTTAAGGTAAATATTTAAATCCGTCATCGTTTCCAGTTTATTTTTCGATTTTTCTTATCTACTTGAAATTTTGTTTAATAGTTCAAAGCTTTAAGATCTTCAGCATGACATCATACTATATCGCAATGCAAATGCAAGTTAATGTCATGTCGATCTTTTTATAATAGATGCGTAATAGGCCATTTCGGTTCCTCCATGTTTCGAATGGAATTTGAGTTCGCAACTCTTATCGATAGGTCAAGTGTTTTCAACATTCGTGCCCAAATAATCCTATGTCTGCTGACTGAATCGACACTTTTGCGGACTCGCCTGCGAACTCGCCTGCGGACTCAGCTCAACCGAAGGACTCATAACTCCTACAATACTAAACGGATTTGCTTGAATTTTGGAATATAAGTAGTTATTATTGATACGCTGCGGCAGGAATTATTATAAATTTTTACATAAATTAGTTTTCAATTAAAATTAATAAACGTATTTTTTAATCAACCGAAGGACTCATAACTTCTAAAATACTGAACTGATTTGCTTGAATTTTGGAATATAAGTAGTTATTATCAATACGCTGCGGCAGGAATTATTTCAGATTTTTACATAAATTAGTTTTCAATTAAAACTAATAAACATATTTTTTATGCAACCGAAGGACTCATAACTCCTACAATACTGAACGGATTTGCTCGAATTTTGGAATATGAGTAGTTATTATCGATACGCTGCGGCAGGAATTATTACAGATTTTTTCATAAATTAGTTTTTAATTAAAACTAATAAACGTATTTTTTGATCCACCGAAACACTCATAACTCCTTCAATACGTAACGGATCTGCTTGCAATTTGGAACATAAGTATTTGCTGTAAATTCGCTAGTTTATGAATAATCAAAATTAAATAAATATCCAAAATTTTTGATTAAGATGAGAAAACTTGAACATTGACGCAATAGTTTCGAAGAAGCGCACGGTGTTCATACATTGGGTACGTTATATAATGTTAGTTATGTGTGTTTGCCAAGTCTCGAGTTGCGATAGCTCCACAACAGTTGTTTAAATTGTTAAATGGGCCTTGCACGCCCGATAATTTCCAACTGTCCGGATGCCGTTAGAAGAATTGTAGGATTATCTCCTAGAAATTAGTTCCCTACTGTCTGATCAACCACCTAGGCATTGTACAATATTATATTTTTACATATCCAGGTTTTGAATTTAAAATACTCAATGCTCCATAATGCCATTAAAATGGTTAATATAGTGATTTGAAAAAGAAAAAATTTTGTATACCTCTTTATTAAAAATTGACAAAATCATAATTATATCAGTTAGGATTTAATACACTATTAATTAAAAGTTGGAATCCTTTTCATCACTCATCAAGTTTGTTCGCCGTAAAATAATAGCATTTCATTCATATTTCTACTACCTAATTATTATCTCATCTACACGATCTGTATAAACACTCACATAATCGTCCATATTTAAGCGGACTTTTACAAAAAGATTTGTATCGCTATTTTTACCGTAGACTGTAAAACTTATACTGTGATTTTATTACCAAATAAAGCACACGAAAATATCGCAATATATAAATGTTAATCGAAATGTCTCCTCGCATGCCCTTAATTATTTTGCAACGTAATTTGAATCTGATGAATAATCCATTCAATATTTAAAATAGTAGTATACGAATTGCATTCTGGAATAACTCTCATTGCATTTTGGCGAAATTAATTGCGTTCTTATAAACAATGACCCCTATAGGTGCTTGTAATTTATCAAATAAAAATGAATAGTTCAGCCACATATCTTTTAATTACCCACTGGGCAGGGTAGATATTTTTTGCGTGACTTCTACAACTCATATGACTGCTATAAATTTTTACATTATATGAATCTAGTGATAATCTTAATTGCTTAGTATCTACGCGCTTTATTCGTCGATGTGCTGTCATTACGATTTTGCATACCGAATTTATAGCTGATTTCGCGTTATTAGTCAGTTAAAATAATATCTTTATTAATTACAATAGCTTGCTTATGTTTTTTTACTTCTTTTGGAATGTCATAGCCATTTAATATTTAAACAATATTAGTTTATAACCAACACACTAAATTCAATAATGATGTTCACATGTCCATTATAAATACTTTCGCTCTAACTACGCATATTCTACAAGAGAAGCGTAATGACTTCGACTATTTGACATTGGCCCTCGGTCGGATCAAAATTGATTACCAATTCTTCCAGTTCAATTTACTTCAAGTTCAAGTTCAGAGTCTATTAACACGAATAACATATAAGCAGATGTGAGCAGCGCTACTTTGAAATGTAGCGGCCGCTACCGCTACATGCTCCAAATGTAGCGGGCGCTACCGCTACATTTAAGCAATTGTAGCGGTAGCGGTAGCGCCCGCTACATATTTAAGTAGCGATACGAGGTTTTGCCNAACGTTGTCCATTCATAGACCTGAAAATGGTCCGAAATTTTAAAACAATATTCCGAAAATTTCATTACAAATGATGAATGATTCTTTGAGATCCAGAATATAAAAATCTCTACGCTTATACTTTCGAAGATGCTCACTGTATATCCCGTCTCCGAAAGTAATACCTTTCTGAATCCACACATCCCGCGAAACCGTGATAAGGAATCTCGTTATCCCGAGTCCCGTCATGTTGAATAACATATTTTTTCTGAAATATCCCGTAATAGTAAAATATTCTCCCCGTTATAATAAAATTTTGGGCATTGTCGATACATGATATGTACCCCCTAGATACGCGCCCCCTATAACCCCTTAAATAATACTGCCACTTAAGTATCCTGTATACGTGGGGTAACAGCGCCCGCTTCTTGTCTGTAGGGAAACTAGCAATAATTGTTTTAAGAAATGTCTAAATTTAAATAATAGTTTTTAATGTAGTGGCCTTCAATAATGGTAGGGAAGATGTTAAATATAATTAAAAAAAAACATTTTATTCGCTAATGTTTCATTTATTTTCATTTATATATTTCCTTATACAATTGAATAAAAAATACTGACATATCTAATTTGCAAGACAATTTAATATTTTGTGTCAGTTTCATGGCGAACCTTTCATGATATGTATTCATAAATAAAGAAAAAAAATTGTTTTAATTTTTAAATAATACTCCTTGCAGCGAGTGGCCCATTTGACGCTCGAAGACATTCTCAGGGCCCTGGCGGACGAAGGTGACTCGTCCCGCAGCTCGGACTGCGATATAATTCATCTGCTATTGCTTAAATTTAATATCCATGCAAGGAATATTGATTCAATGCAGCGTAAATTTTATGCGTACAAGAGAGTGTCGCAACAACTCAGAGATGAAATTCGCCGAATCCTCAACCATGTAAGTCAGACATCAAGTTAGTTCCTTCTATGTAATATTTCAATAACTACATTACAACAGCTGCTATGTACTTAAATACAACTAAATCTTTGCAAAATTGATACTCCGTATTTCATACTTTTGAAAAATATCACATAGCCATTTGCTTTGCTATAGTCCGCCTGTTATACTAATAATTATTGTAAAATTCTATATTTATTATATTGTAGGTCAATATAAGTTTTCGGGGTAAATTTTGAAATTTTTATCGGCATTTATTAAATGCTAAAAGTCTTCTGTACTAATTTTTAGATATTTTATTACCCATAGTATACGTGAACTGCATGTTTTAGAAGTAATCTTTTATAACATAGAATGCGCTGGGATGAAACGCATCTTATCTCGACTATGTTATTAATGTGCTGACAAAGACGCAAATTTTGAAATTGTTTAATAAAATTATTGTTATACTGCTACAAGCCTTATATTTATTTATTAAGCATTCACGTGAATATACTATCGGCATTTATATACTTGGAAATTATCATATCATTCGTCTTCCACCAAAACCATGATATTTTCATGTGTATTTTCATATTTCTCATAACGTTCTGCAAGTACATATATAATCATCCATAGAGCAACTACTTATCGGCTCTTATTAATGTTTTTATTTCCATATCTAACAGCTTCTCGTTCTATAAATAATTTCTTAGTGCAAAACTGAACACCCCATGGGAATTGTAGGCACATTTTAATTGATTCAAATAACATGGTATCATCGATATTGCAGGGAGTACTGTGCTCTATTTCAACTCAAGTAGTGGTCATGCATCACCACTTCATTGTGCGTTTGTAAATATGGTGGCGCTGACTATAGGCGATTCTCTCGCGAGCTTGCCATAACACACAAGAATTACATCACTGATAATTCGCTACTTTAAATTGCGGTTATTGAATCGCAGATTATCCTATTAGCAGATATCTATTTTATGTTGAGGAATTTTTAAAAAATGAATGGAAAGTAATAGAGCTATGTTATTATATAATTGCAGTTAAGCTTAGCCTTGTTCGTACTTCCCACATCTAATTTTCGACTTACGCATTCCATACTTCCATTTTTTGAGCACATCTTGCTCTTTATTTACTTTAGGGATTTTTTATAACATTAAATACTAAAATTATTGCAAAAAAGTAGTAACATGTTTTCGTAACATGTTAATGCACGTAATGTTAGGTTTACGAATTTTACGCTAACGAAGCATACATTACATAATTGCGTTTAAAAATTTAAATTTGATTTACAGATGTGAAAAGGATTTTTATTTACGTATTATGAATTTTATTTGCAGCTAGTGTAGCTAATAATGCCTTTTCGTGGTAGGTTTCGAGTGGTCATTACAATTATATTTATCTTAATAACATACGACACATAATAAAACTTAGCATGACACAAAATTGTTTTATATGAAATTTACATAGTGATGTATTACTGACG